ACAGCGGCTGGCCTACCTTGTCCACAGAGGTGTTTTGCCTGCAAACAATATTTGCACTTCCGATATCACCCCTTGTAGAGAACTTCACTCCTTCCTTGGTCACTGATATAATAACTGAAACATCATGACACACAAAACATGCAGAATTATTATTCTTCTTAGATAAATACAATACAGGTTAACATATTTCAATTCAAAGAAAGCATGAAGCCACCAAAGAAGTAACCGATTAAATTTCTTCTATTCATATATTTTATAAGTATAAAAGAAACCGTCAATTTTATCAATATATCGCAAGTCACATTCATCGCTAGACATGCTTACCAATTTGTACAATAAATAATATAATATGCATGTGAATCACAATACCAATTGATAGAGAGAATAGGACTGTAAACAGCTCGGGGTCAACCCTGATCGAGACCTTACCTTGGATAGACCATTTAGACCCAGACAGGGATATAAACCCAACCCATTTACCACCCGTAGTGAGAAAGAACAATCTGACGAAAACTTCACCAAGACAGGGCCTCTCTCATTAGCATAGATTAAGAGTTAATTGACATGTAGTTCTACATTAGAATTAGTATTAAATGGGAACATTTTATTGGGCTACCTAGTTAAGGTCCACGATCCAAACCAAATAATTTAATAGAAAGGAATAAGAATGTGATACATAATGTCTGGTCATGATTTGTATTAAACGATTCAATTGGAAAGGACACTGCAAAACCATCATCCATGTAGAGGAAACACAAGGTCTGAAACCAATCAATCAAGTAGAACAACATGCATATTTAAGTGCAAGATATCTTAGGCTCACCATATTCCAGTAACCTTCAGCATAAACTACTTTTTTATTGATAACATGACAAATTCCTAGAATTTGATGTATCACAAGCATAGCAGCACAACCAGAATCGAAAAAAAAATAAAGTTTTCACTACCTTCTAGTCATGCAAAACCAGTCCCATGTTCAGGGGACAAGGGTTAATAATTTTAAAAGTAAGGAAAATTTTCAATACCTTGAAGGCCTAAACAGATAGCATGGTTAAAGCCTGGTTGGAACATGCACAAATTTACCGAGAGCATAGTCAAAGAAAAGTGATGGATTTACAGGAACACACCTCACCAATTGACTATGGAATGTTACACTACTGAAACTCCAAGCCAAATGCATCACAAGACCACATCAGAATTGAAAGTCAGTTACGATTAGAATAGAATGCTTTTCATTCTATACAAATAAAGGGAAGAGCCTTATTTCTCAGAGAACTTCATGCATGGTTGATGGACTTGTGACAAATTAAATCATTGCAGAGTAAAGAATAAACTGCAGATAAATAGTCTCCTGCAGTCCTATTATTGGCCAAATACCTGTGTCCCCTATGCTGCTCAGATCCTTGCATATACGTTGGAACTCAGCAGCTGGCATTCTAACTATCGACTGATATTCAGATTCTGGAATACCCAACTGCTCACTGCTGATATCCATCAGTTTCATCTCAAAGTCTGATATCTTATCCTGGCCTGAAACAAAATGATGACCACATAAGTTGGAAGAACAGATGCTATATATGTTACTGGCAGGATTAATAATAATTAATGAATCAATTAGAACTATTTCAATCCTTTCCTTACTTCACAATTTGGTTATTGTGCTCATCTTTCCAATGCTGCAGACAGGGCTTCAATTAAGAATTGCTATTGGGATCAAAATATTCTATGATTTTCACAATAGATTGAGCAAGTCTTTTCAACTTTCAGTGTGCAATGCACAACTTATTAATATTCCAAATCATAAAGCTTAGAAAACCCAAGCACTTGAGCATGGCTCAATTAAATAATTTAAACAACATTGGACAACTGATTAAAGTCCTCAAAGTAATATTGGGGCCTAACAAGAGACCATATTCTTCCTTGTAGTCTTCAATTTATTCTATACTTAAAATGTCATTCAAGACCAAGCTACAATATCACTTAACTATCTACAACTAATAGCAATAGAAAGGTCAATACTCAATCAGAAGATTGCCTAATGTTTGATACACCAATTTCCTTTTTCTATGTTCATAGTTTTTGAAGGTTGGATCCCATGTCAATAGCCTCTTTTTATTGTTAACTTCACTTAATTGATAAAAGAAAAAAGTTTATATAAGGACGCTACC